AAACTTCAACAAGAGTGTTTAAATAATGCTGATCTGGCTTTGCAGACTTTGGGTGGCTTCAACCAATACACACAAATTCCAGCCACTATAGAACTAGGCACCTGATAAGGGACACTCTAAACATTTACATGGCCATTCTCTAATGGGGAAACCAACACAAGAATGCAGAAGAGCATCAGAAATCCCCTCCCACTGACCCCTCTGTCTTACCACAGGCCTTTGGCTAATACAACCCAAATCACCATCTGCTCATCAATCTTAAGGAATGTTGCATCTGAACTCCAACTTGGAATTATTGACAAGTGAGATCTATGGAATTAAAAGGACTTGAAAATAAAATCGTGTGCCCCCAAGTAGACACAGGCACTGTTGGTGGATTGGGATATTTCTGAGATGTGACATTAGGCAATTTTGTCATTGTGAAAAAATCACACACTTAGATGGTGTGATTGCTAGTGTTAACTGTCAGCTTGGCAAAATCTAGAATCACCTGGGAGATGGGCCGCTGAACAAGCCTGTGGAGGATTGCCTTGATTATGTTAAATGAGGTAGAAAGACCTGCCCCACTGTGGCTGGCACCATTCCCTGAATGGGGTACTTGTACAAAATGGATAAGGGGAGCTAGGCAGTAGCGTGCACTCCTTGTTTGCTGCATTCTGGTTGTGAAAGCAATATGATGGACTTCTTCAAGCGCCGGCCACCTTGGTCTTCCCACCATGATGGACTTGTCCTTGAACTGTGAGACAGAATCAACCCTTTATCCTTTAATTTTCTGTTATCAGTCTTCTATCACAGCAACAGGAAAAGTGACTAAGATAGATGGCTGTAACATCATAGACCATGCAGTTTTATGGGAGCAACCTTGTCTGCGAGGTCCAGTGCTGATGGAGATTTTGTTATGTGGAGCATGACTGTGTGAGTTGGAAACCTAGGCCCAGAACCTTTGACAGTAATGCGAGTCTTTGCAGATACACAGCTACAAGTGAAGGACATAAGATGCTAAGACCAGGAGATGAAGCATCCTCCCCTGGAGCCTCCAGACGTAGGACGTTTCTGTCACTGACACCCTAGTTTTGGGATTCTGGCCTCTAGAACCATGAAGGAATAGATTCCAATTGTTTGAGCCTCTGGGCTATGGAGGTTTGTTATGGAGATGAAGAAACTAATGCAGAGGTAACAGAACATCAACCCTGGGGGACTGAGGACTCAGAGTGGGGAACCACTTGGCCCTGGTTATATATGACACAAAAGCACCTCAGTGTCCTCAACAACACTAAACCACTCAGAAAAGGGAAGATGGCTCTTTTCCAAGGTCATTACAGCTGAGACCGGGTGGGCGGGGCCGACAGGACTCTTAAGACAGGGGCATGAGTGCAGATGGAGCCTGATGGTGCGGACAGACCAGCCCCTTCACAGCTTGGCTGTGGAGACGTGCCTGACTCAGCACAAGTCCCAGTTTCCATCTTAAAATTAAGTCAAATGATTGTACAGTGTCCATGGGAAAGCATGAAAAAAATCCAATGAGAATCTGCTTAGCCTGAGGAGTAAAGTGGGGTCGGGGGTCAGGGGATGGGAGTGGGGGGCACAACACTCAATGGCGAATACTTTTCGAGTTTGGGTTTAATCCCACACCCCACAGAACAAGTTGTTTAGTACGACACCCTGCATCGGATATGCAAGAAATAAAGGAAGGTGGCCCTGTTTCTGTGTCTCCTTGAGTTCTGTCTGTCTTCCTATTACATCTTCTAATGAACCTTTTTTTCTAATGCCCAGGGTTTCCACGTCTGACCTGAAGAAATGAGGGGCAACTTGCTGAGAAATTCTGGTCTTCTCTTTCCCCCTCATCTTTAACAGTTAGGGTCTTAGTGTCCTTCCCACCCAGTTCCCTCTTGTCTGGCTGCCTTCCTTTTTGCAGCCTCACTTAACTGTGAACTTAATGTGATTGGGGCAAGTTACTCAAAGAAACAGAAAACTCTTTCAATGGCTGTGCTTAGAGGCTGATCAATAACTGAGCACATGTGCCAAAGTACTTTGTTAAATGTTTACATTTGAAAGCTTAAATGTGAAAATAGTTAGCCAGCTGTGTCATCCGCACCAATGCAGATGGCAGGAAGCCTTGCAATAAAATGCCCCGGAGCCCTTTTCATGACACCAAAAAAGCATATAGTTGCAGACCTTTGCTATCTTCAGTTGGATTTATTGTGTTAGCACGAAAGTATATTTTAATAATGGAAATTGCTATAATTACAATCACTTTTGAACATCCTTATTATTATTATTAATAAGACCAAATTGTGTGGTTCCAGTGAATGCTGGTTTCTCCTGTTAGATAGAAGTCGCATAATGGTATCAGCGTGCAACCTGACTCTCATCCCCATGCCAGCACGGGCCTGCCTACCAGTACAGGGCTCTGAAGCTCTCTCAGGCTGCTGGGCAGAAGCCTGTAACTCCTCAGAGTTGGTGGGCAGGACAATGGATCCCAGTTCTTGTATGAAAGCAAGCAGGGCAGGGGTAAGCACACTCCCCATGCCTGGCCTTCCCATAGGACAGCAGGAAGTCTGCTGAGCTGTGGTTTATATCCAGCCTCTTGTCCAAAATCCTCACACAGTTCATTCCTTACAGCATGGCCTTAAAAGGGAGAATGAGTGATCAGAGGGCGGGGAAGACTTTAGGTACAGTCAGGCATACAGTCCCTAATACCCTGGGGTCAGGGATCACTGCTTAGGAAGAATCCTTTGTAGCACAGGCATGAAGACTGACAGCTGTGAAACCAGCATAGGACCTAACCAAGCCTCCTGAACGTAGGTGTCAGTTGTGAGGCTTAGGCAGTCTTTGAGGCCTCTGGTAGTGGAACAATATTTATCCCTAGTGCGTGAATGGGCTTTGGGAACCCATTCCCTATGGAAGGATACTCTCTCAGCCTAGACACATGTGGGAGGGCCTAAGTCCTGCCCCAAATGATGTGACAGACTTTGATGATTTCCCCCATGGGAGGCATCACCCTCCCTGAAGAATGGAAGGGGGTGGGTGGGATGGGGGGTCGATGGGAGAAATGGGAGGACCAGAGGGAGAGGGAACTGGAATTGGTATTTAAAATAAGATTGTTTTTAATTTAAATAAAAATTAATTAAAAAACTACTATGGAGACTAAGAGGGAAAAAACAAACAAACAAAAACCCTGCTGGTGCCAGACACCACAGGGCAGACTGCAAAGCAGGTTACCAACACCTAGCATTTACAGTGGGATGATCAGATGCACAGATTTTGCCATGAAGTAGCTTGTCCCTCCATTGTCCTATCATACAGAACAGCTCACTCCTGTGGGACACAAAAATGATACTTGTGTTTGTCACAAAAACAGTCTTCTTTAAAAGCATGCTATAGTCTAACTGAGAACTCTGGAGGAACTACTTCCTTAGCTGTGACAAACCCAGGGTGTTTGTTACATCCGGGATAATTTAATTAACTCAACTTCATCGCTGAGTTTAAAGCAAAGGCCACTGAATTATCAACGGAGCGAACAGCGGCTGAGGAGCGTTTTGTGAGGGATGTCTTCTCCTTAAAACCTTTTCTGGTTCCCCTTTCTCAGCTCTGGAACCGGCAGAGCCTTCTTCACTTCAGGAGAGTAAGAGTTCCCTTCTGCCCTAAAAGCAACAAGAATTTTCATTCTTAAAGGCAGAAGTTTCCCAAATGGGGAATCAGTCAGGGCCTGTGTATGAAATAGGCCCCTCCTGTACTGTGCAGTCCTGCTGAAGGCGGTCCACAGGATTCCCACCACCTGGGATCGTGCTCACGTGGTGGTCTGACTGCTCTGGGGCCCCTAAGCTTCCTCAGCTGACACATGCCCCAAGTCAGTCTTCCCTGGGCACACAGGGATCCTGCACAGCAACCACAACCAAAGTTTTGAACAGAATAATACACTCTTTAAGGTTGTTTTTTTTTTGAAACCAAATAACTACAGAAGTTGTTCTGCGCTGCCGTTTCTTTTTAAAAATTAGCATGGTGTGTCTTCTTAAAGTCTTGAATAATTTAATTGGAATTATACAAAAGTCATGAGCATGTTCTATTTATGGGCAATCACATCAGCATGAAAAACCCCAACGACAACGTTAAAGATTAAAAAAAAAGTGTCTTCGTACGGTGAAGGCAACTCATGAGAGAACTTGAACTCGAGTGGGTAGATCAGAGAAGGTCGGATCACTTCTGGGAAGCTCTTCTTTCCTTGCCAGATTCCGTGCTTCGGAGGAGTCTGTGTTCTTCGCTACACGAAGTGTTAAATGAACATCGGGACAAGGGGGAGAGGAAACCTGTATTGGACTGCAGTTTTGTTTTGTCTTCGCCTTGGTATGCGCCTGGTATAGTTCCCCAGTAGCTAATGGTATTCACACTCTCCAACCCCACCGGGTGCATGCCTTGACAGTGCTTGGCGCCCAGAGACTGGGCAGCTGGACTACTACGAGGAAGCCAGCAAACCAACTCCGAGTAAGGCAGGCGACTCTGCGGGGCAAACAGACACTTCGGAACCCAGTATCTTTTAGCTGAGCTCATGGAGAAATCTCTTTAAAGGTACTGCGCCTTGGATGCCTGCCAAGAGTCTCTTTAGCAATGAGACAGCATGGAGAGTATCAACTCCAGTGATTTCCCTCCACCCAACAACACCTTCTTCCAAGACTCCCCTCCACCCACCCACCCACCTAGGAGGTATCGCTCTAGCTGGAAGGAGGAGTCGCTCCTGGAGAGGCAGCGGGTTACAGGTCCCTTCAGCTGCCAGGCTCACGGGGTGGGGGAGGACCACCAAGTTCTGAAACACTTGCTCACACCCCCTGAGCTGTGCTGGGGCAGAGGCTGCGCTCCCTGTCGCGTCCCTAGCGCGCTCCGCAGCTACCAATCCAACCTATGCTCCCCACATCCCTTTCTTCTCTCAGGGAAAGCGGCGGCTTTAGGGGCAACATTAAACCGCTCGGAGACAGCTCCCAGAAGCCCCTGCCCTCAAGTCCTACCTTCTGTGGCGGGGTCCCGATCAGCATCTCCAGGTAGTAGCCGCGGCCAGAGTCCCCCTGCAGGTTGTCCACCATAGCCAAGAAGTTGGCGGCAGCCCCGGCGGGCTCCAGCGCTAGCGCCAGGCCATCTGCGCGGGGCACCTCAGGGGTCCCGAGCCCGGGAACGGCCGAGGCTCCGTGGCTCCTGGCTGCAGCCACCTGGAGGGGTAGCGTGAAGGGCGCCGGGGCTAGCGCGGGGGCTGCGCGCAAGAGCCACTGCGCCAACAGCGGGAGCAGGAGCGCTCGGAGCTGCGCGCCCATCCCCGCGGCGGGGGCTCGGCGAGTCAGTGAACGCGCGGGGCTGCGGGGCCGGGCGGGACGGGGCGGGGCGGACGGGGAGGAGGCAGAAGAGGGCGGCGCCGAGTTGAGCAAGTTCTCAGCCGCTGCCCCCTCTGGCGGCCGCCGCCCCGCAGGCCCATCCCCTCCCCCCGTGGCCAAGGTCAAGGATAGGCGCGGGGAGTCGGGGCGCACGGACCTCGGGCCGCTCCTCTTCCCTGGGAAACTGGAGTGCAGAATTTCCTCGGAATGTGCCCCGGAGGCCACGGCTAACGGATATGACGAGGCTCAGCCGAGAGCTCTAGGAAAGTTTCGGGAACCCTTAAAGGTGCAGCGAAGGCGCGAACTGGCTTCCTGGCCATGCGTTCTAGGGGTCCGCAGGGGTTCCCTGGCCTTGCAGAGACTGGACTGCCGGGTCATAGCGCCGAGCAGGTTACAGTGAAAGACAGCCTTTCAGCTTGCCAAGGGCATCTCCAAGGGGATTTTGTCAGCCTCTCAGGGCCTCTTCCCCTCGGGGATCTCCCCTTCCAACTCCTTGGGAGTTAGGGGATTCTCTAAGAAAGAATGAAGTTCGAATGGAGGATGGGAGCACTGAGGCTAAAGGAAGCCGGTGGGAGGTCTTTGGATTCCTGAGAAGGGGTCTGGGTTGCTGCTGTTGTTCCAACCTGCTTGACCTCCTTGAGCCCCAGGCTGGGGAGGTGGCTTCTGGCCTGGTGTCACTCCTTGCTCTTGTCCTTAATGCAGATCCTATTCTGATAGGAGCTGGGCTCAGTCTACTAGGAATCCAGTCAGTCCACCTCGTTAGTTAATCACTGTCAGGGTCCCAAACGAGAGTTGCAGAGGAGTCGGCTGCCATTCAGACCTCCCTTTCTCTCATCCACCCACCAGCTCTCCGTGGATTATTTAATTAATATCTGTTTAGTCACAGACACAGAAGCCGCAGAAATGCGTTCAGGGGGCTATTTTATTTCAGGTACTGAACACAGGAGGGAAAATTACAGCAGCTAAACTCATCGATTTCTGCTGAAACAAGGAACAGAAGAAATCTTTGTGTCTCTTCTAGCTAAATTATGCTGGCCTGTTTTTATTTTTAAACAAATAAACCCATCTTCAAACAGTGGGGAAGAGAAATAAAGCGTCCCTAATTCCTGACTGGAACTTCCAGATACTTCCATTCTGGTTTCCATGTTTATGCCCGCCTTCCCAATGGTAGAATTCCATCTTGCTCTACCAGGGACCTTTCTGTCCAAGATCTTCAGCTATACTGCTTCCTAAATGACTCTGGTTATAAGCTGCATTTTCCCCCTGAACTGTGTCTGAGCTCCAAGGAATCCCCAGCCACATGAAGGAAGGCCTGGCTGAATCCCAGGATAGAACCTAAATTGTTATTCCCCGTAAATCTGCATAGTTATCAAGAGCTGCTACATTCATATATTCACATTTCAAACTCAAGATAGTAAGGGAAGGGCAGATTTAAAGAGATGATTATTATGCTCCCTGGTGTCCAGTATTGAAGGGTTCAGAAACAAACAACAACAGAAAACCACCCAGACAGCTCTCAGAAGGATAGCAGCCTTGTGGAAGTACACAGAATTTATCAGACATTGATGTAGGTGCTATACGAAGGTCAATAATAAAGATATTTGCTCTCTCTAAGAGTTCATAAAACACGAGGGAAATCTATAAAAACTCAAGTCTAATTAAAGTTTGTATTTGAAACTCTCTATTCCGTGCACCATGAATACCCCAAGCTTTTCTTGGTAAAGCAGATGCATAGAGACAACTGCGTAAAGGCGCAGGGTCAGGAGCACTTGCAGTTTTAATGAGTGGTAGGACCATTTTGCAGAAAAAGTACTGGCCAGGCACTGAAGTGTCAACACTGGACACCTTGTCTTTATTCTGAGTGGCCTTAGAGTCCTCCATCCTCACTGAGATACCCACTGGAGTAGAGACACAATAGCTTTACCTCCAGCTGTCTTGTGGAAAGTGGTATTTGCTGTCCCCTCATGAGGTACCCTTGGCTTTCCTTCCCATTAACGTTTCAACCTTGAAGCCTTTTTCCAACAGGGCTCAGGAGCAATGCCATGCAGGAAGAGGTGAAACTTAAATGCATCCCTTTGGGATGCACTGCCTCACTGATACCCCCAGGAGATTGCTGGCTCTGGTCATGCAACCACAAGTTCTCCCACTTCTGGTCTAAGGACCCAGTTGCCCTGTTACAAATGATTGGGGGCCCTCAGTATGTTGATCTCTATTTACCAAACTGCAAATTCAAAATAAGAAACATTAACAATTAAAGTAACAGCACACATGGTCCCAATTGGTAAAATGCTTGGGTTTAACCCTAGGCATCCACCTGAAAAGCAAGGCATGGTGGCACTTCCCTGTAACCCCAGCTCTGGAGAGGCAGAGACAGGCAAATCCCTAGGACTCTCTGGCCAGTCAGTCTAGTCTAGTTGGCAAGTTCCAGGCCCCGGTGAGAGTCCTGTCTCAAATAACACAAAGAAAAGTAGACAGTGCCTGTGGTGGTTTAATGAGAATGGCCCCATTGGCTCCTATGTTTGAATATTTGGTTCCTAGTTGTTGGAGATGTTTGGTAAGGACTAGGTGGTGTGGTCTTGTTGGATGAGGTTGTATCACGGTTTGTGTTTTTGTTCTTATTACTCTTTTGTCTTTTTGGGGGGTGTCACCCAACTCCCAAATAAATCATGCATGGGCTATTATTACTAGTTTTAACCCCCCCCCTTATTTTGACTTGTTTCTTGCCAGCATTTCTTAAATTAGCCCATTTACCTTTTGCTTCTGGGCTTTTCCTTTTTCTTACTTCTGTAAATCTTACTTTCCTTCCTATTTCATTGCTGGTTGGCTGGCCCTTGATGTCGTCCCGTTGTTCTCTCTTGCTCCTGTATTCTCCCCTTCCTCAGATTTCTCCTCCTATTTATGCTCTCTGCCTGCCAGCCCCACCGTATCCTTTACCCTGCCTCGATATTGACCATTCAACTCTTTATTAGACCATCGAGTGTTTTAGACAGGCAAAGAATCACGGCTTCACAGAGTTAAACAAATGCAGCATGAACAAAGGCAACACATCTTTACATCGTTAAACCTTACAGAGCACAAACAAACTTAACACATCTTAAAATAATACTCTACAACAGGGGTGGGCTTTGTGGTTTCAAAAGCCCACTCCACCCCCACCCTCTCCCAGATTCGCCTGCTGCCCGTGAGCTCTCAGCTGTTGCTTCCAAGCCATGCATGCCTGGTGCCACACCTCCTGCCGTGATAATCAAGGACTAACACTCTGAAAGTGTAGGCAAGCCCCTAATTAAAATGCTTTCTCCTACAAGTTGCCTTTGTCGTGGTGTCTTTTCACAGCAATAGAAGGGTAAGTAAAATAACTCCTGATGACCATTACCCAAGGTTGACCTCTGCCTCCACAAGTACATGTGTATGTGTACGTGCAAGTACTCCATGAATTTACTTTTACATACGCAAAGTAAATAAATAGAATAATAACAAATAACCAACTTCCTCTCTCTTTTTGGTGTATGATGTATATACATGTTTGCATGTATGTGTGCATCTGTGTGTACATACATGTGGAGGTCCCAGGTTGATGCTGGGAGCCATTCTCTATTGATCACGGTCTACCTACATTATTCATTCAGGTAGGCTCTCTCAATCAAGGCCAGAGTTTGACTATATACTTAGTCCTGCTAGCCAGCACACTCTAGAGGTGTCTTATCTCTGCCTTCAAAGACTAGATTTACAGGCAGGTTGCCACACACACACCCACTATTTACTTGGGTTCTGGAGACCCAAAGTACAGTCTTCACATGTGTGTGGCAAACACTTTAGCCACTTCATTGTCTCCCTGGCCCCAACTCAACATTTTAAAGAAGACTGCATCATTTGGAAAAAAAATTGCAAGAAGTGACATTACTTTATATGTGTGAACTTTAAAAAAAAAATCTGGATTAATAGAAGACAGTTGGGTGTTCCCTACTGTGTCTGCATTTAGTCTGTCTGCATCTTACACGTTCTGAAACTCCTGGGAGACTAAGGGTATAAAAGGGCAAAGTATATTTTAGTGTTTTCATGAAACAACTTTAATTAAAGGGCCCACAGTTTTGAGGCCAACCATCGTCTACTGAGTTTTGTATCATTGTCAACATAACACAGCATGACATAATTGGCCTTCTATATCATATACTTCGCCCTCAGCTGGAGGAAAAGGCTAAACAGGACCTGAACGTTTTGGATCTGCTACCTGGACCAAGGGACATGAGGCTTCTCTATCACAGGGGCTCCAGAAGGCTGCAAATGGGCCCAACCCCCTGCAGCCCAGTGCAAGCTTGCGTCTCTGCTCTCTTGGAGTCCCACTTTATACCTGCCACTTGGATCATCCCCACCCATGTATACACAAACTAAAGCTTTCACTTGTTTAAGCATTTCTTGACCTTACCGTATCTCCTTATCCTTAAGCCAAGTTCTTTGTGTATGCTTGTGCCTGTGTGAGGAGGGCAGAGGCCAATGCTAGCATCTTTTTCCATTTTTTCTCCACCTTATATTTCTTGAGACAGTCTCTCACTTAGCTTAGAACTTGTCTATGAGGCTAACCTGGTAGGCCAGTAAGTTTCAAGGATCCCCCTGCCTCCACTTCCCCTGTGACAGGATTAAAAGTGAGGGGTCTGTACTCAGCTTTCGAAGTGGGTTCTGGGGATAGAACTCAGGTCTTGCTTGCAAGGTAAGCTCTCTACCAAAGGAACTTCTCCCCAACCCTATATGTTGCAGAATATTTGTTTAACTATATAAATATGTGTTGTATTTGTTTAATTATGTAAAGATGTGTTATTGTTTTACCTCGCCCTCCAAAGGCACCTGACTGGTCTAGTAAAAAGCTCAATTACCAACAGTGAGGAGAAGGTATTGGCGGGACTTCTGAGTAGGGAGAATAAGTCGGAGGAGGAATTTAGGGTGGGGGAAGAAAGAAAAAGACACCAGGAAGATGCCAAGGGCCA